ACGTGTTACAAACTCGTTGGATGATGACCAAGTGTCTCGTAAGGTTGATAATGCACGGTTTTGAGTTATGGCCGGTTATAAAAGCTCGGCCCGCGGCGCCGCCCTATTCGACCGCGGGACGTCGATATGGAAATTCGGTAATATATACTTTGTACGGCCGCGATAAAAGTTGCAAAACTCCCGGGCACTTCTCTTACGGCCCCGGACTTCATAGTCGCGATGAAATTTGATACTTTATCGCGCTTAACTGAACGCGGCAGTTAGCCACCGCGTAAAAAAGGAGTCGTAGCACCGTCGATTTATCGAGTGCCGAACTTCCTTCGCTCGCCAACTTCTTTTGCACGGGGTTCCTTCCGACGAAGGCAACGATAAAGTACAAATGTGACCGTTACGCGGTGCTTTATGATCTTCAAATTAAATTGAAGATACCCCATATCTCTTCATCTCTGTCACAATACACGGAGCTCTCTGAAAATCAATCAGTGAATTATCTCACTGAAAACAGTGAATAGTCACCGATTCACGGTTATAAGATTTTCAGCGGTATACGAGGGTGGGTTGAAAAGTTTTCAACCTCAACGTGAAGATGACATTACTTGTCGTCGCCACTTCAGTACTGCGACTGTACATGCTTTGAAGGATACCTCTGAAAATTTCAGTCAGTTTGGATTCCCATCAGTTGTTGTACGACAGTCATCGTCAGTGGATGATAGTATTTTCGTAAACATGACAAAATCGAATATTGGGCCAAATTCACGAATTGCAGTTCGAACTGATCGACCACCCCCTGTATTCACCAGATCTAGCCTCCAGTGACTTTTCCTGTTTCCTAAACACAAAGTTTGGTTCGGAGGACAGAAATTTTCATCGAACGAGAAGGACGTAGCATCCGTAGATGCCTATTTTGCAGAGCAAGACGCCAACTAGTATTTGGGCGGGTTAAAGCGGTTGGAGCATCGCTGGATTAAGTGTATCGACTTAAACGGAGACTATTTCGAAAAATAATAGTGAGTTTTCTATGTTAGGCTAAAAATTTTTCAACCCAATCTCGTACTTACAACTGCAAATCAGTGAGTAGTCACTGTTTTCAGTGATAATCCACTGATTGACTTTTAGAGAGAGAGAGAGAATTTTCTCTTAAAATTTACTCTGAAAATCACACATTCGTGGGACAACACGACATTCCGAAGAATTTAGCTAATAAAATGTATGATAAAATGTCAAGAAACTTTCATAAAATTTTTCAAAATGATGGCATTTGTCCCACGATTACATGATTTTTCAAGTAAATCTTAAGAGACAATTCTCTGTATATGTACGCCAATATACTTATATAAATGGCGGATGTATTAACGCATTAGTGAAACAGAAATGATTGCGAAAGAGCGCGGGATTATTTAGATAATACTTTTCTCGATCGCGTTATACCCGCAAAATATCACGCGTGCATTAAACACACGCACATACACCGGTGCTCATTGCAATGCAATTTTGTGTTCCGCAAAGTCCAGCCGTGATTAAAAATTATTGCGCCGAGACGTGCTCGTCCCTAAAGTAAGATTTGGTGTGCAGGGCCACAATGCGATATAAATCGGTCCGCGAATTAACTCACTTATTAACTGTTCTCGCCGCGGGCTCACGTAGGTGTTTATTTATGCGCCACAATTATTCCGTAATTAGCCATCAGTTATTCCGTAATTAGCGTTAATAGAGTTTAATGAAGGCTGCAGCTATCCGTTGCGAACTCGTTGCTTCCCGATTAGCCCGAGACCCTAGGTGCGCATCCCCCGGAGATGCCAGGCCGAAACGTACGGATGGAGCCCTCGTGCGCAGAACTCTCTCGCAGGAAGTAATGGCGACGTCTTCGCGTGACTCCGTACCTATATGCAGGCCCCCGGCATGGCACATGCCCATCGCAAGTTGTTATCCTCAAACTTGCCGATGCATCTCGTCGAATAACGTCTCCATCATTCCACGCCCGTACGCGCAAATTCGCGCTTATACTGAATATATACATTTAAAATGCACTTTGAAGACGACGTGACGCTGTCACGTCCTTCTCTCGACTTATCGTAATTACTCTTTTTTTTTATTCCATACGTCGCATATTCCATACGAAGATTACGCGATAAAGCGAGATTTCATAATAATTATATATCGAACCTATAAGCTCAATCGTATCCCTCCTTCGATACTTTTCATTGCGACGTTATTTAAATTATTTGTATAAATGTAATTTTTTAAGTACACCTGCCACATTTCATGAGAAAACGCAGCTGTGCATTTACGGCAATTTATATACAAAAATAAAAGATCCTGCTCGCACATAGAAAAAAGTAATATCTTTAATTGAAATTGAAACATTCGGTTTACATGTCTCGTGTTCGGAGAATTAATTTATTAGAGTCAAATTCTGTTGGATTAACTAACTGCTTTTATTAATACTTTTTTTTATATAAGGAGCAAGTACAGTTCGAAAAAATGTATTAATTACCTGAAAGAAGAAAATGTAAAAAAAAGAAAATAGAGGAAAGTCCACGATTATGAAATGAATAGGCTCCTAAGATGAGATAGCGGGGATTCTGTTAAATTAATAGGCATCGTCTGTTGATTCCACTATGAATTTATTGCCTCTGGAGTGAAATCTGTTTAGTGGAAAATTCATTGTTAGATCGTGTAATCGTTGCGAAAGATTTGTGATTGAATTTGGATGTTGAGCGAGAAAACCTGCTATCTCATAATAGAGGCATAGACATAGCAAGACGTAATAAGACAATATATTACATGAACAGAGGACTTTCCTGTCTGTCAGTGACGCACCGGTGCACACATACTACTTTATTTACCTAACAAGACATGGCGGAACTCTCTTGCCTCATTTTTAGCTTGATGGTAGCAGTCTAGTAGTATATGCATAGACGTAGTAAATATAGACAGGGCGTCCCATTGAATAAGCTGAAGCTTGTGAAGAAAGAGAAAGAGAAGATTTAGAAGACTTTCTTTCTCTGTCTTACACCATCGTAGAAGAAAAGAATCGTCTTCTTCTTCTATCCTATGGCTCCCGGCTCAAACGCTGAGCCGACACGGCCACGTCGAACCAATTGTCCTCCAATGTATAAGTCCCCACACTATAGCACACGGCCACGTCGAACCAATAGGCTAAATATGAGTTAAACAATGCAATGGCCCGGTAACCGGGCCACGCGCGGGATGATGCAATCCCGCAGGATCAAAAATTTATCTTCCGTCGGAAGACGTGCGAACCGCTCGACTGCCCAGACGGGACTATATGGAAAAGAATCGTGCCTGCGCAGTACTACATAGGCGTGATTCTCGCTTGTCACGATGGTGAGACAGAGAAAGAAAGTCTTCTTAAATGTAGAGTTCCTATAAGTAGAGTTGTGCCAATATCGTTTCCCGATTATGATTGGCTCCGCCCTTTTTCGTTAAACTTCCGTTCCGATGCAGCTTAGAACAGCTAAAGCCCGCTGCAGACGATGCCATTTTTCCTGGTGGATTGCTTGCGATTTAGTAAATTACTAGAAATCCCGAGTGCTGAGTGGTGCAATGATAGTAATTTATTAGATTACAAGCAACCCAGCAGGAAAAATAGCATCGTCTGCAGCGGGCTTTATCATTATACATATGTTCTGTGGTTATCGCATCAACGCATAAGGGTCAGAGCACAAAGCAACGTAATAGCTTACGACAAAGACGCAAGTGTAAACGTAGATAGCGCACAAGCTTTAGCGTATGTCGTACTTACCTCCAATTACATATGACGTTACTTTTACGCCAAAGCTTGTGCGCTAGCTACGTTTACGCTTGCGTCTTTGTCGTAAGCTATTACGTTGCTTTGTGCTCTGTCCCTAAGTCAACATTATATAAAATCAGTATTTTGTGTTTTCTACATACACTGTTGTCATCGCTCTCTTTAATTATCCTAATTGGAATAGGGTAGATATGAAGTTATACTTTAGGAAGGTTTTTGTATTAAGGCAAACCATATTTACCAAGTTTACTGTAGAAATTCTTATTTTCCTCCTTCCCTTGTTCTTAAAAGTACAATTTACCTAATATTTACCTAGTTTACCTAATATTAATATTAAATTTACCTAATAACTTTTATTATTTTCGCTATTAACTTTAAAAATGTAACTTGTGTATTAAATTATATCACGGCTTCAATATTTTTACTGTCATCTTGGGTTAAAATTTATATAACTTCAAAAATTTTTTATTCATTCCTTTATATCTTCTGTATTTGTAATCTACTTTCATCTTCTGTTTTTCCACATTAACTTATTACGTTTATTAAAATAAAAATAGAATAACTTTGTTTTATCTTAGATTGCATTGACGTTTTATGTAATAGTTACGATAAGTATTTAAAATTTGCCGCTCTTTATACGCTGTTTAACGAAAAATGGCGACTTCCGTTACATTGACATAACTCTACTAATAGGAACTCTAGCGCAGGCACGATTCTTTTCTTTTACGATGGTGTAAGACAGAGAAAGAGAGTCTTCTTAAATCCTCTCTCTCTCTCTCTCTCTCTCTCTCTCTCTCTCTCTCTCTCTCTCTCTCTCTCTCTCTCTC